GGCGGCTCCGGGAGGGAGGGAGGGAGGGAGGGAAGGAGGGAGGGCTGCGAGCCCGAGGGGCGATCGGGACGCGGGTGCCTCGGTGCCCGGAGCGGGGCCGTGCGCCGCGGAGCTAGGCCGTGCCGTGCCCGGCGAAGAAGCCGAGCTCCTTAACTTCTGTCAAGTTGTCGGCTGATGTTCCAGCCGCCGCCGGCTGCGCATCTTTTGTCTTTGGAGTTAAATAAGCTGTGTAGGTGACCCACGCTTCTGTGTCTGCGGCTACCGCGCGCGGTTCAGTCGCATCCGACTTTTGACTCCTTGGCGTCCTGATACCGGGTGAAGTGTGGGTGGTGTTTTTTTAACTGGCTCTTGCTTCCGAAGCTCCAGAGACAGAGAACAGGTCTTTGTTTTTTCCTGGCAAGCTGTCTTGGAGATGTAAATCTACCAAATACATCGTTTCCTAACAGACCTAGAAATATCCACACACCCCCCACCCCTCAAAGGTTCTCTCTTTCGTTCACCCAGCAGCATTGGAGTTTTCGTTTTTTTTTTTTTTTAATTAACTTTAAAAAAACAAAACAAAACTGCTTTGCCTTCCAAAATCCACTCCTTTGTGAAGGAATCCTGTCACCTGGTTTAAATGTACCTGTCTTGAATGGCATTGCTTTGGCTGTTTTTCTTCTACTGACAGCTGCACTATAGGTGAAGTTGGCTCTTACTTTCGAGTGATGTTTACAATTCATACACATTACAATAGTTTGTGGCATCTGTCTCTTCAGTGTTTTAAATGGCTGGAGGAAGCAGAAACCTTAACTCCCCAAGAAGCGTGAACCGGGTGTAAATTGCTGGAAGTATGGAGTGAATAACACATACAGTTATTTAGTTACACCCCCCCTTTTAAACAGTGTCTCACCATATAGACTTGTCTCATCTGGAATTTATAGATATGTAGACCATGCTGGCCCCAAAGCCACAGAAATCTGCCTGCTTGTGCCTCCCCAGTGCTGGAATTAAAGATGAGCACCTCCTCGACTCCACTTTTTTTTTAAGATATATTTTAGGTACCTAAGGCTCTTAATATGACATGTTTTAAGATAGAAAATGCAGTTTAATAGTCAGTTATATTACCTTTAAAAAACAGTTCAAGTATATAACTGTGTAGTTGAACATGTGATGTTTTTCTGTCTGTTTAACGCTGCACATGAATCTACTGTTACTTTAATTATTGTCTTCGACCCCACTGGCCACTCTGGCCACCACCTGGCAGGGTTTCCAGTCCTGTGGCCCCAGCTCTGCCACAGTCACAGTATGTAGGTTTAAATTAAGTCTTAACATTCTATTCATCAATAAGACTCAGGAGTTAAGGCTGCGGTAAAAATCTGCTAGCTCAGAGAGGCTAAGTAGCAACTAGCTGACTTTGCCTTTTTGGCCAGAGATACCACTAGAAATGTCTCTTCCCTTATCCCAGAACCAAGAAGAAGCTCAAACTTCCATCCCTGCCCTCTCGCTCCTGTGTTCTTCTCTATCCAAATTGCTGGCTCCTCTGGCCAATTCTGGTGAGCCAGGTGCTGGCTCCACCCTCTGATTCAAGGTCTAAGTATTGGGCAGCCCCAGGAGTGTCAGAGTGAAAGACATTTGGGTTTGAAGACTGTGTTAGTACTGATAAAAACAGCGTTTTTCTTAGGGTATGATGGGGCAGTTTTTCTCCTGGTGTAACTCTGGATGGCCCTGTATGGTCTACTCTCTGATCTCTTGAGTCCTTGAAGATTCTATCTTCCTTCACCACTGTAATATGGCTTTTGGTTGGTCTTATAATTGTGTTTCCCCCACCCCCCAGGCAGGCTCTCCACAGAGACCTGGCTGTCCTAGAATTCACAGTGTAGACCAGGCTGGCCTTGAACTCACAGAGATCAGCCTGCCTCTGCCTTCTGAGTGATGGGATTAAAGGTGTGTGCCACCATGATCCACCTTGCTTATTCTTTGTGTAAACTACTTTATAAATTCCTTGAGCATCAGGAATTGTAATCTAGACATTGGACTAGAAAAAT